GGCTGGATATATAGAAAGAAGAGGTGGTCATCTAATCAGGTGGCATCTGAGAGACCATCATGAAAGCCTTCAAAACAACTCTTTACTATGTATTTTGAACAATGTATCAAAATCAAGACAATGCAAGAATGAAATGTACAAGATAGATTCCCCATTCACTTGGTTAGTTTTATTTCTATTCCAGACCAAAAAAGGGGGGAGGAGGAGGAGGAGGAGGAAGAGGAAAGGAGGACTCGCCAGCTGAATGATACCTTTATTAGTTATTGACTATAACAAAAGATGTGCAGCTTGAGTATCCCTTATCCAAAACGATTGAGACCAAAAGTGTTTTATATATTGGATTGGGGGTGGGTGGGTTTGAATACATGTACCGTATTTGCATATATATAATGAGACATACATGACATACTGTTTTAAGTGTTGGACTATATCTCTGGAGACCAGGGTTTGATTCCCTGCTTGGCCACAGAACCCACTGTGTGATCTTGGACAAGTCACATGCTCTCAGCCTCAAGAAAGGCAATGGCAAACCTCCTCTGAACAAATCTTGCCAAGAAAACTCATGATAGTTTTGCCTTAGGGTCGCCATAAGTTGGAAATGACTTGAAGGCACATGACAACAACAACAATGAGACATAATGGGATGGGAGAGAAACTGAGGATCTGTGAAATGGCAGAAGGTGTGGATTCCCATTTCTCTCCAGTTTTACAAATACAATACAGGTACTTACTGCATCTCTTGTGTTGTACCTCAAAAAGTTTTGGATTTTGGAGCTCTGTACTTCAGATTTCAAAATTATGGATTTGGGACACTGAACCAGTAGAAAGTTTGAGGTTCTGCCGAACTCTTCATCAGGCTATGAAGAAACAATAAAGTCCAAAAATTAAACCAGACTTTGTGGCCCTGAGGTATGAATCTATGTAAAAGTATGTAGTTTAGACTTGGTCTCCAAATGGAGATAACAGGCTAATGGTGTACATTTATCAGGTCACACCTAGCAACATTTTCTGGGATAGAAAAGGGAATGACTAAACTTGGTGCATTAAACATAAGGTGCATTAAGAAAACACAGGTTCCTCAGTTAGTTTCATAAACATGACAGTCTTTAGCATAGCGCTTTCCCCCACCATATTTGGTGAAAGACTTTACAGTCACTTCTCCTTTCTCACGGACTTAAAGTCCACAAATCAATTGTGCATGGCCTCAGGGGCATCCCCCATTCAAGCCTATGGGGCTTGAATATTACCGAATCACCGTTTTTGCAGGGGGGGGGTCTGGAATGGATCCCCCGTGAAAACAGAGGACCGACTGTAGTTAGAATTAAGAGTATATTCTGCCTCTGTAGCTTGAAGCAGCTATATGCCAACTGTCCTTGTGATTTATTTTTCCTAAGTGTCCAGCTCCTTCAACCTTTCCTCATTTGTTTTGTTTTCCATACCTCTTATCATCCTTGTTGCCCTTCTCTGAACCTGCTCCAGCTTGTCTATATTTTTCTTAAAATGAGGCACTCAGAACTGAATGCAGAAATACAGATGAGGCCTGACCAGTGCATAATATAGTGGGATTACAACCTAGCAGTTGGAAAGCATGCAAATGCAAGTAGATAAATAGGTACCACTTCGGTGGGAAAGTAAACAGCATTCTGTGCAATCATGCTGGCCACAGGATCACAGAGTACTGCCCCTTATGGTTGGACATGACTTGACAACCTTGTCAACTGGAAATACCTTTACCTTTTTAATACTCCCCTTGACTTGGAAAGTATGCTTCTATTCATGAGGCTAAAATAGCATTCACTGTCAGCTGCAGCATGTTCAACTTATGATCAACAATAATCCCAAGGTCCTTTTCATGTGTACTACTGTTGAGCCGTGTATCCCCCTATACCTATGCATTTGGCTTTTGTGAGCTACATGTCGAATTTTTGTTTGTGTCTATTGAATTTCATTATTAATTTCTGCCCAATTTTCTAGTTTATCTAGGTCCTTTTGAATTCTGTTCCTGTCTTCCAAAGTGTTAGCCATCCCTTCCAGATTTGCATCATCTGCATACTTCATAAGGATTCACGCCACCCAGTCATCTGACTGATGAAAATGTTGAAATGTAATGATGGACAGAACCCTGAGGCACTCCACTAGAGACCTCCTTCCATTAATAATGACTCCTGGAGCACTGTTTTCTAGCCATTTATGGATCCATCTGACAGTGTTCACAACTATCCCACATTTACTCAGTTTGCTAATCAAAATTTTATGGGAAAGCTTATCAAATGCTTTACTGAAATCCAAATAAATGACATCCACAGCATTTCCATCATCTGTTAAACTGATTGAAAAAAGAACTATATAGAAGAGATGATAGGTTGATAAATGCATTCAACACAGAACCATTGGAAGATGACCCTACAATTTTAGAAAAGGAATTGGATGCTGTGCTCAGAGCACTTGGGGAAAATAAATTACCAGGAACAAATGGCATACCATATAGCTGCTTCAAGCTACAGAGGCAGAATATACTCTAATTCTAAAATCTGTCACCAAATATGGAAAACAAAACAATGGCCCAAAGATTGGAAACACTCAGTATACATTCCAGTCTTCAAGAAAGAGGAGACCAGGGATTGGAGAAATCATAGGATTGCATTAATTTCCCATGAAAGCAAAGTGATGCTCAATATGCTATGACAGACGTTTACCATATATGGAAAACATGCAGGAGTACCTTGTTGGCCATTTAGCAAATTCAAACAAAAATCCATCAGTGATACCTTTATTGGCCAACCAAAATGCATGTTGCAAGCTTTCAAAGCTCCATGGGCTTCTTCATCAGGCAAGATATTACAAATCAAACAGGAGAAAAACAATTGGAGATGTTAGTCTGATGCCTGTATGTTGTTTCATTCTTTAGATAAGATGGTATGGTGAGGAGGATATCTTTTGCAGGCACCCTATATGGAGTGATACATGCCATATCTCCAAGCTAGGTACAGGAAAGGCAGTGACAATAAGGATCATATTTCAAAGGTACATTGGATAATGGATCACACTAAAGAATTTCAGAAGAAAATCAGCCTGTGCTTTATAGATTATAGCAAAACTTTTGATTGTGTAGATCATGAAAACTATGTATTGCTTTTAAAGAAACGGATATGCCACAACATTTGATTCTCCTGTGTTCAGAACAAGGGGCTGCCATCAGGACAGAATAGGGAGAAACTGAATGGTTTCCAACTGACAAGGGGGTCAGGCAAGGCTTCATTTTATCACCTATCTATGTAACTTGTATGATGAACATATCATACATAAAACAGGATTAGATTCTGCAGAAATGTTTTGGTCATAATGCAAAAGCATGGAGCTCTTTGTGAGATTCAGTGTTCTTACCCTAATAAAGGGGTTTGTGGCCTCACAAACATCCTGGATCTCATAGGAAATACCTTTTAGTTTTGCTAATGGCATTTAAATTTCCTGGACTTTAAAACAGTTGTTCTCCCAGGGACATATGGCCAGAAGGAGGAGTGGCCTGTCTGGTTAGATATCCCAGACTTCTCCCACAGTTTTTTCACAAACGGGATTTTCGGGTTGTCAGATGGGCTGCCCGAGTGGATACAGGCTGCCTACAGTCCAGACGTGGGTAAATGCGGTAACATCCGTTTTTGTCTTTTAGATCTCTCCTGCTGGGATTCATGGGTGCAATAATCTCCTAACATTGTCATTTTTTACCCTTCTGTATTATTTTTAACTCCTTTGCCTGATGAAGAAGCTAGTGGAGCTTTGAAAGCTTGGAATATATATTTTATGCATTTTGGTTGACCCAATAAAGGCATCACTGTTCTGTGGATTTTGAATGTTATTGTACTTTGCTATATGGCCAACATGGCTATGCCTGGATATGTGAGTAGGGAAAGGAGAAGTGGTTGAGACTTGCTTACCATAAAGTATGTGACATGCAAATATTAGAGGGAAACACTTGCTGAAAAGGAAGTAAATTTGCCTGACAGTATTCAAAATAAAAGATGCAGAAGAGACAGTAGAATGCAAGCTGGGAGGATGGGTAGCCTGCTGCAATGGAACTTAACAGCAGGAGTCTTCCTTCTAATCGGTAAGATGTGAGGGTTTTTTGTTTTTTGTTTAGTGGAGATGAAGGGTTGTTTTTCTTAGCAGGGTTTTTAAACTTTCTTTTTTATATACAATTCACAAAATAGAATAATAAAAATTAAATAAAATGAATAATATATTTTCATCAAAAAAGTGTTTACTTCTTTTTTTGATAGTTTGCACAGTTAATTTTAGATAATGTGCTTATCTGTCCTCTACTTGTTCTTATTTTCATAGATATACTTCCAATTGTTATCTGGTTTTATATAATATTTTTTTCTCTAACAATTGTTGACTTCTGATTCTAAGTTTCACTATAGTCTTTTCAGTTTGTTGCTTCTATATATCATATTGTTATGAACCTAAATTATGTTATTTATTCTTATTCTTATTTTTACTTCTCATCTCTTAACCTTTCCACGTCTTTTTTCAATATTCTGTAATGGGCAAGCCACTTTCTACTTTCTTTGTTGTCTTTTGATTTAACCAACATGTTAGTTTGTCTAGTTTGATCATGTCTATTAATTTCAGTAACCATTCATCTATTGTTGGAATTCCCTTTATTTTCCAGTTTTGAGCTAAAAGTATTCTGGCTACTGAATTAATATATAGTAACACTTTCCAGTACTTTTTTTTAAATCTGCCCTCTTATTTGTATGTATATACTTTGCTAATACTGACTTCATATCATTTTCATGGAACGTATTTTCATACTGTTGTGAACTTGACAACTTATTGTATACGACTCTTGACAGCTATTAGCTATAAACTAACAAATCTTTGAAAGAAATAAAATAAATTTCTAGTATTTTATGTAACATGTATATTCCAGCTATTATGTATGATATTAGCTATGTACATTGGTGCTATATTTTTAATGAAGGATGAAAGAAAGCTTGAGAGTCAGCATGGCATAGTGGTTTGAGCATTGGACTATGACTCTGGTCACTAGGGTTCAATTCCCCACTGATATGAGTATGGGGGAAAAGGGGGCTGCAGTATGAAATGACAGCAAACACAAAGTGCCAAAGGCACCATACTGCAGAAGTGAACAAAGTAATACAAGTCTAATAAATTGAAAATGATATATTAACAAGAATACCTTGTGTTTGTTATCAGTTCACCACTCAGCCATGGACACCCACTAGGTGACTTTGGGTGAGTCACATACTATTACCCCAAGGTCAGGCCCCAATCACCCCTCTCAACTGTGATATCAATTTAATATTAAAAGGGACATTGAGGTGGGTACCCTGAAAAGCGACCCCACTACGGAGACCTGGTCATACATATTTGGAAATCCAGTTGGCTGCAGCATGGAAAAAAGCAAGAGCACCCACCACAATGAGATCACCCAAAGGCATAATAATATAATAATAATAATAAAATTTATTTATATACCGCCCAATGGTAACCCAATCTGGGCGGTTTACAACCTAAAACACAATTTACAATTAACAGAATACCCTCCCCCTTAAAACAGTATTAAACATTACATGATTAAAAAAATCAAAGCA